AAAGCCTGAAAGAACGATTCTTGGAAAACCGACGCCCAGCTCGGGTACCAGCGGAACCCCACAGGGCAAGCGAGTTCACGACTAACGGTCCTGAACACGGCGGTGAGGTTTTACCAGAAGAGCTCATTGTATTTCTTGCAAGGCCAAAATATAATAACTCACTTACACCCTGCAAAGGTGTGTTTTTAAAAAATGGATCGCATTTGCAAACAGCAGAGAACAGTGTTCTTTTTCGTTTTTCAAAAATCTTTTCCGTGGAAAAACAATTTAAAGCGAGGACATGTGTTTATTAGCCTGGGGTCTTGAAGAACACAGCCACCTTGTTGGTTGCAGGCAAATGAAACCCACAGGGATCTGCTTTGGGGAGGTTTCACCATACAAGGCTGAATAGACCACTTTGCAAATAATAAATTACTTAATGCTCAAGGCCACTAGAGGCCACTAAAAAGGACTTTATGGCCAAGGCTCAAGGCTGGCGGCTGGCTCAGCTGGTGGTGGCGCGACGTGAAGGAGACTCAGAGCCGTGATGTGCTCCAGGGTTCAGTTAAATTTAACAGTGTTGGAAAAACCATGGCCCCCAGCCGCTGACTGCACCTGTGACTTGGGCCATCTGAGCCTGGAGGGACGGTGTGGGGGCAGGAGGAGGAGGACAGGGAAGAGGAGGAGGCGGGGGAGGCATGGAGGTTCAAGGCAGACCCTTCTCTATCGTGGGGGGAAGTGATGGTGTGGGTGCATCTTTCAGCTTTTCTGTATACAGGCCCCTGTGGACCAGCCCCACAGGGCAGCAGCAGTATCCGGTCCTAAGGCCAGAGCCGGGGTGTGTGGCTGCCCTTCGGACCCTGCTGTGGTACCCAAGCCTATCTGTAACATCTAGGAAACCAGGAGAAGAGTATAAATACTCTCCACACACCCGTATCTAAACATTCACAAGTCATAAATGAAGATAAACTGTTAAATGTGCCACCCAGCTACCTTGACAGCAATACCTTCTTAAGGTCTTGCAAGACCAAGTTTAAATGATGATTCTTGAATTCTTGGAAATCTGCACCAGAATATGGCCATGTCGAGAAAGCTGAGCCATCAAAGACTCCCCCTTTCTCTTCCCAGCCCTGGCTTCAGCCTGAGCCTCTAGGGGTCTTGCGCACACCTACATGGACACCCAGACTACACGTCTGACCTCTATTCACATCCGCCACCAACATCCACTACCTGGCCACTCAGTGTCTCAGAGGAGGGATGCTGGGAAGAGGCCGACCCCCGAGCTTGGGGTCTGTTGTGCAGGGAATTCTGTGGTCCTGAGTACCCAGAGAACATTCTAGAAGAGAGCGCTGGTTCTGGGTAGGTGTGTGCCCATGGCCCCACAGATTCTTTACCCCAGGGGGAAGAGGGCAGCTGGAGGAGGACCAGAACAAGGCCCTCTTAAGCGCTAGACCCAAGAGAAGGGCCCCCTGCCCAGGTCCCAGGGTTATACCCGTGGCACCCGTTGTCATCACAATAAGATGAATTCATTTGTGATGCTGCCAGAATCCTCTGGTCATCAGATCTTAGGGAGAGCAAGGCAGTGAGACAAGATATTTTAGTGGTTTTGACTCTTCCGAAGGGGTCTAAGATGTTGGATTTGAGGCTTAAAATAAACTCATCCTGGATGCAGCCAGCAGGTGCAGGCTGCTCTTCCTGGAGCCCAGCACATAGCCTGAAGAAATGTGCCACTCCACGCTGTCGCTGCCAGGCCTGCTCCTGCTGGCCTGAGAAGGAAATGCAGTTGGGTAGAGAGAGGGTATGCAGTGGTCAGAGCATCTGTAGCCAAATCCCACTCCATCACTTACCAGCTGTGCCCCTCCTGGGCACGTCACTCCCAGGGCCAAACCAGTTCTCTCATCGGCCACGTGGAAGTGATGGATCCATAAAGCGGAAGTGATAACGGTACCTGCCTGTGATGGTTTATGTGTCAAGTTGGCTGGGCCATGGTGCCCAGATGTATGGTCAAACCTTATTCTGGATGTTTCTATGAGGATGTTTTTAGATGAGATTAACATTTAAACAAGTGGACTTTGAGTAAAGCAGACTGCCCTCCCTAATGTGGGTGGGCCTCATCCAATCAGTTGAAGGCCTTAATGGACCAAAAGACTGAGCTCCCCCAAGCAGGAGGAAACTGTGCGGCAGACGGCCTCCAGATGTGAGCTGCAACATCGGCGCTTCCCTGGCTTTCCAGCCTGCCAGCCCACCCCGCAGATTTTGGACTTCTAAGCCTCCACAATCACATGAGCCAATTCCTCAAAATAAATTTCTTTCTACAGTTTATATGTATATTTCTCTGGAGAACCCTGACACCTACACTGCCTTCCAGGGTTCAGGAGTTGCATAATGGGCGTGGTTCAGCGTCTAGCACAGAGAGTGCCCTCGACACACATGAGCTATTATCATAACTGGGAAGACGGGCTTTGGAATCTGTTCCAACAGCCGCGAGCCTGTTCTGGCTGTGCTGCATCCTGTCATCTACTCACCCTCTCTGAGCCTTGGTTTCCTCCTCTACAAAACTGGGATAGAGCGGCTCTCGCCTGGAGTCGTGGGGATGCTTCAGCAGAGCTTGGGTCTGTAGAGTTTCTGGTACGGTGCCTGGAATTCACTGGTTTGCTCTTTCAACAAATATGCATATTGGCTGTGCCACTCCTGTGTGCCAGGTACTGCTCCAAACACCGGGGACACAAACGGTTGGGTTCCTGCCCTTGGGGAACTCGCATGCGAGCCCAGAGAGGTGGCCGATAACCACGTGAACAACAAGCGGGATGATTTTACACCGTGGCACGTACTGTGCAGAAAATAACATGGGACAGTGTGATGAGAGTGACTCTGGGGGCGTGACAAATGACACCAAATGACACAGTGGAGATTCTGGTGCAGAGGAGGCCCTCAACTGGCATGCGGCATTGTCCTTGTTGTCAATAATCGCTGGAGACCCTATGGCAAGCAGGGAGCACTAAATCATCGCCTACTGTTTGTGCGATGCCACTTCTCAAAGGGCATTTGCCCGGCTGAGCTGTGGCTCCTGGTCAGTGTGTTTTCTCGGGCTTGATGGCAGATGTCCCTCATGTCCCCAACATCCCCAGTGTTTCACTGGGACTTTATATCCAGGCAGTGACTATTTCAACTGGCACTGTTTTAAAGCTCTTCTTCCCCAGAATCGTGCTTGTTCCCAAACTCTGGGGTGCGGCAGACAGAAATGATGGTTGACTGGCACCCAGCAAGCCCTGGGTCACCCCCTCCCCCACTCACTCATTCATTCCGTAAATGACCACTGGCCCCTACACTGTGCAGGGCTTGTGCCTTCTGAGCAAACAGCTGAGCCCACTGGCCAGATTGAATCACTTGAGATGGATGGAAGGAATAAAATAAACTCATTAAGAGGGAATGCATTCCCCGGAACCCATTAGAACAAGGATCTGGCGCTATTTCCACAGCCTGGGGCACCATCTCCCCGAGATTCTCAGAGAAACGCATTGTGACTTTGGCGGGGTCCAGCTGGATCCAGGGCTTTAATTGTGTCCCCAGTAGGATGGTCCTGGGAGTGGGGATGGGAGACTGACAAGAGGCAGCACTTTCCACCCTATACAAGGCTCAGTGCAGTCTGTGGCCAGGCTGGGCAGGTGCTGGCCTTAGACTGTTTTGTGTCACAAACTCCAGCCTCTGAGCCCTTGGCCCTCCTCTGTGATCTTTTCTATCTTCCCTCCTGTGGCCCCATGTCAGGGAAGTTCTCGCCTGACTGAATATCTTCATTCATAATAAGGTGCAAATAATGGCTGGAACTTCAGACAGGAGTTCGAGCAGCATCTAGCGGGTCATGACGAGCAATTTCCATTTGCCCCTATTGTTGCCTCAAGGGAAGCGTTATCTGCACTGAAGGTAGAGCCCACGGAGGTGGCCCCTTGGGTGCTGAGGTTGCCATGGAGTCTGGGAAGACGCTGCCCGCTTCTCCACCTGCCTGGTGACTCCGTGAGAGGTCAGCCCCTCTGAGCCTGAGGTCTCCGCCACTGGAGCCCACAAGGCTGGGGGCTAGAAGGGGTGACGGAGAGTCTCCTCAAGGACAGAGGGTAAGGAGAGAAAGAGAGTGGAAGAGGAGGAAAGGAGGGAGGGAGGGAGGTGGCAGGGAGGTGAGAGCAGGAGGCAGGATGCAGTTCGAAGCCGGCCAATCAGAGCCCTTCCCCGAGGTGATGGCTGATTTTCTGCGTCAACTTGACTGGGTCACGGGGTGCCCAGATGGCTGGTTAAACATTATTTCTGGGTGTGTCTGTGAGGGTGCTTCTGGATGAGATTAGCATTCGAATCTGTAGATCGAGGAGAGCAGACGGCCCTCTGCCACCTGGGTGGGCACCATCCAACCTGCTGGAGGCCCGAACAGAACGAAAAGATGGGGGGAGGGGGAATTCACTTTCTCTCTGCCCGACTGCTGGATCTGGGTCTTCTGTCCTCAGACTGGAACTTAACCATTGGCTCTCCCAGTTCTCAGGCCTTCGGACTCAGAGTGGGACTATATCACCTGCTTTCCTTGGGTCTCCAGCCGGCCAACCGCAGATCACGGGAGCACTCAGCTTCCATGATCATGTGAACCAATTTCTTATACGCTCTCGCTCTCTCTCTCCCTCTCTTTCTCTTTCTCTCTCCCTCTCCCTCCCTCCCTCTCTAGAATATACATATCTCCTACTGGTTTTGTTTCTCTAGAGAACTCTGGCCAATACACCCAACTACCCACTCTGGAGTGGCTCCGACCAGTTACTCTGGGTCACAGGACCTCATTTATTTCCTTCATGGTGCTTATCACTACCTGTGATGGGATTTGTTCACTTGTCTGTTTTATGTTCCCCCCATAAGAAGACGAGCCCCAGGCGAGCAGAGGCCCTGCCTGTCTTATTCAGTGCATATCTGCAGCATCTGGACCAGTGCCTGACACTTAGCAAGCACTCAGATAACCCTTCTGGAAGCAAAGATGGAAGGGAGCAAAGAAGGAAGGAAACATAAGGGATGTATTACGAGAAATGATGGAGAGTTGATTCCCGGAAATATCCCAGGAGCCTCCCCCAAGCCCCTGGTCTAGGCATCAGTCCCCAGCGAGGTCCAACGCGGCTAACTCCTGCCATCTTGCATAAACCCGCTGGGTGCACGACACTGTTTGTCTCACATTGTCTCTGAACCAAAGAGCTGCATTCCACAGCCTGGAAAACACTGCCTGTCACAGCCTGTGCGCCAAAGAAATGTCACACAGCCCCCGAGGCCGCCGATGGAGGGTTCTCTGAGGCCAAGTCCTAGTTCGTATGTTTTCTTTTTTTAACATTTTGGTGGGCCGACGCAACCTGCTTTTTGGAATCCTGGCCTCCAGGAAAGTTTCCTGCAAGTTCTGGAGACGACACGTCTGGAACGGTGCCAGCACAGGGAACAGCAGGCCTCATGTCGCTGAGGAGGGACTCTGAACGGGTGGGAGGTGAGGGGCTGCGGGACGGGAGGGGAAGTGACTTGGTTGTCCCTCAGAGGGAAGAGCAGACGGCATCGGGATTGTACAGAACGCCCCTCCTTCCTCCACGAGTTGCCACCATTAGGAGAAGGATCAGGGTTTGAGTTCTGTCAACGAAAGTTTTCCCAACTCTGTCACCAACATGTAACAGCAAACGTCCTTCGGCCACTTCTTAGCTTCTTCCTCGGCGCCGTTTTAGCCAGACGTGGGTTTGTTCTTTGCGTAACATCCCAAGGTTGCGGAAGCCTGTTCCAGAGGAGCAGAAGTCCTGCTTCCAGGGAGGGGGACCCGCACTCGAGTCCCCGCTGTCTGAGCTGCTGCCACTTGGCAGGAAGGAGATGCTGCCAGGTCTCCCAGAACAGGTCAGAGAACGGACGGCACAAAATCATCTTTGTGGGCGAGCTGAGGTCTGCACGTGCCCTGGGCTGGTTTTCACCTGTCGGCTAGGAAGCGGGACTCAGCCATCTTCTCCCCACACACCCCTCCCGCCGAGAGCCGGCTCTCCTCCAGGGATCCTTCCTGGGCCGCTCCACTCTGGATTCCAAACTCTGAGATCGGAGCTCCCAGCAGGCACGCCCGGGGTGCAGGGCATGGAGCAGGTGCGGCTCTGTGCTCTGGGCACTGTGGGTGGCCGGTTCTTCTCCCCTCTCAGTACGTCCCTCTCTTCTTGGAGGGGAGCCGATGGCTTGGGTTCTGGAAAGCGAGGAATGGGAGGGGGTGGCTCAGTCCTCCTCGTCGTCCTCTTCGTCCTCGGGGTCTTTGTTGGGGGTGCACCTCTGGAAGCATTGCACCACGGTGGCCAGAAAGAAGCTGGAGATGATGGCAGCGATGGACACGGCCACGCCGGAGAAGATGATGATGAACAGGTCTGTGAGTGAGAGGCTGAACTTGCACTCGCTGAAGCTGGCCTCCGACAGCTCGTGCAGGAATACCCTCCTGTTCTCCACGGGCAGGGAGCACTGGATCTCGTCGAGGCCTGCAGAGAAGGTGGGCAGGGCGAGAGAGAGGGTTAGGCTGCCGCACAGGGTGGCCCACAAGCTCGCAAGGCAAGTGCTGACGCACAGCGGAGCGGGAGCAGCCCCCAAACGGGAAAACAGTTGATTTAAAGTCTCAGAGTCATCCCCACGGGAGAATTCAGAATGCTGGTCTCCCTTGATCAACTTTAAGGCACGGTGCTCTGATTTTGAATCGCTCAGGGTGGTGACAGAAGGGTATCATGGTCTTTTTTTGGGTTTGGAAGCTTGGTGGACCTTAATCCAGGCCTGGGGAAGACCCAGCCTTGAGCGGGGGCGCGGGGGAGATGCAGCGGGATGGGGCAGCGCCAATGGATGGCCCTGCAGTTGCTCACACTGTTTCCTAACTTGGACGCCATCCTCCTCCTCATCGCCCTCAGGACGACGCCGTCCAGAGGATCAGCACAGCCTTGTGGAAACTCCACTCCCCTCGAAGGGCCTTCCCTTGACAGGAGCGGGGAGAATAAGGCTCTGTCTGAAGGTGGCCCTCAAACGGTAGTCACCGAAGCTCACATGGAGCCCCCGGGTGCTTCAGAACCAGCCGCAGACTGTATGAAAATGCGGATTCCCAGGCACCACCCCTGGAGACTCAGATTCAGCAGGTCTTGGGGGGGACCCCAAACTCTGCATTTTTAAAAAGCATTTTTAATAACCAGGTGACTCTGGTGCTATAGCTCCAGGAGGCACACCCGAGGAGCATTATCTTCTGGTTGTCTGAGGCCTGAGAGCTTCTGGAACGTTCACCCCTGCTATGACCAAAGGTGCCCTCGTAAACTTGGTTTTGTATATTGGAGTTCTCTTTAAGATTTCACTGCAAGAGTGTTTGGCTAATTTAAAAACAAGTGTCAAATCTTTTGTCTAGAAAACTGTCACATCCGAGTACATGTTGAAAAAGTGCTTTATGACAATAATAAATGCTATCCAGAACTTACCACAGGCCAGGCACTGTTCTAAGCACTTCACACATAACAATTCCTTTAGTCCTCATAACAATTCCACGAGGTAGGTCCTAATGTCATCCCCATTTCACACAGACTCAGAGAGGTGAAGTAACTTGCCCAAAGCTGCACAGCCAGTAAGTGGCTGAGTCTGGACTCCAACTGCAGCAATCCGGCTCCAGAGGCCTGGCCTGTAGCCAAGGGTATGTGAGGCTGGGAGGAAAGCCAGGAAGAGTAGAGCCAGGGACACAGGAAGTGACGCCATCTTCCCGTGGCTGCCACCGAGTGGAGTGGTGGCAGTGACAGAAGCTGTCAGTCACCTGGTGGTGAGGGACACATTCCTAGTGTGATGGGTTTATACCATTTTAGAGAGACCGGATGACCGCTCCCTTATCGGAACGTGGTTCCTCCGGGGTGCCCCATCTGCCACTCGGTGAAGCAAGGGGCGGCTGCAAGCACTGCAGATGGGCGAGCTCTACACCCTCCATTGACTTAGTGAGCCCAAGGGAAGACTTGTCCGAGGCAAGAGAAACTGAGCAACTTGAAGATGGCTCTCCATGCACTCACTTATTCATTCAACACGCATTTACTGAGTACTTAGCCTGGGTCAAGGGACCGGTGAGGAGCAAAGCAAAAAGGCCCCACCCACGGTGAGTGCAAATTCCAGTTGGAGAGACAGACCCTCATTCGCGCATTCAACAGATGTTTGATGAGTATCTATTATCTGCGGCCCTGGGGATACAGCACGAACAAAGCAAGGCCTTGCCCCAGTGCAGCGTACTTTTTAGACAATAAATGAGCGGATCAAGAAATACGTAGAATGTTGAAGACGAAACGTCAGGGTGAAATGATGGAGCGTCCGGGGTGGTCAGGAGGTATGGCTTCAGCTCGGATCTGAAGGCTGAGCTGTAGGCAGCCGCGGACGAGCAGTCCAGGCAGAGAAGAGAGAGAGTTGGAAAGAGCTCAGCGTTTGGGGACACGGCGTAGCCAGGGCAACAGCGAGAGCCAAGGGGAATTTAGGACCAGCCAAGGTGGAGAGACGGGCACGTGGGGAGAGGCAGCGCCTGACAGCCAGGGGCTCCGAGTGCCCATCATGAAGAGAGGCCCCACCTCCACCACCAACCCTGTTATGGACTCGGTTGTGTCCCCCTGCAGACGCCCAAATCCGTGTTGAAGCTCAACGTCCAATATGACTGTGCTGGAAGACAGGGGCTTGAGGGAGGTGACTCAGGTTAGACGGGGTCAGAGGGTGGGACCCTGATCTGATAGGACGGGTGTCCTTATAAGAAGAGGAGGAGACACCAGGAGTGGGTGCACAGGGGAAAGGCCCTGTGGGGACACAGAGAGAAGGTGGCCGTCTGCAAGCCGGGAAGAGGTCTCACCAGAAGCCAACCCTCCCAGTCCTTGATCTTGGACCTTCCAGTCTCCAGACTGTGAGAAATAAACGTCTGCTGTTCAGCCATCCAGCCTGCGGTATTTTTTTATGGCAGCCTGAGCTGACTAATACAAACCCTCGTTGGACATGAACAAGTTGTAGGCTTGTGTTAGTGTTAACCCACAAAAGACCGTTTATTACCAAGCACAATCTACACATCCTGACTGACACACAATATGAACGATAGACCAAATCAAGTTACTGCCTCGATTTTACAAACTTCAGACACAAGAAAATGCATGATATTCAAATGCATAAAGAGCTCAGATCTGCTTCTGATCTGGAAGAAGAGAGAAAAACAAAACAGTAGTGACTAACACTCTCGTTGCACTTACTACGTATGTGCAAACACTGTTCTAAGAGCTAAGCACATGTTAACTCAATTCCCACAACAGCCTTCTGAGGCAGGTACTATTACGATTATTACTATTAGTGCTATTATTTTGCCCATTTGTGGTGGAGAAAGCTGAAGCACAGAGAGTCCATGCAGCTTGCCTTTGGCAACACAGCTTCACAGAGCTGTAAAGACGCCATTTTGACATTAAGCTCAATAGCCTTCAATCTCTGCTTGCCTTTGGCCTCCTTCCAACTCTCAGCAAAACCTTCAATTGTTCTTTTTTAGTGCTTTAATGATTTCAAAAAGCTGGCCCTCAACCCACCTCCAGAATTATCTGAAACCCAGGAGGATTTCTTCACACTTTGCTGATCAGTGGCTTCTATCCCGCAAAGAGCAGTCCTGCTAGGAGGTTGCTGTGCAACCCTGCCACCACCCTTTGGGCCACCACCCCTTGCGCCTTTGTCTATATTTCCTTCTCCAGCTCAGAACCAGAAGCTTCCTCCTTCCTTCTGTCCTGGCCCATCCTTTATATAGTCTACAGACAACCCACTGATGCTCTCCTCCCCATGGGAACCGTTGCCTAGCAACCAGACTCACATTCCCCCGTCCCTAAGTCAGTACCCACTTATAGACCCGAGGAATCAGCTGGACCACTGCTCTGCAGGTTTCCCCAGTTTACACTTGACTATGGGGTTTTTGACTTTCTTTTTCTTAAAGAAGCCAAACTTCTGAGCGTTTTAAATGCATTTCAACAGAACAGGAGAACTTTAAGATAGACTTATATTCTGGTTCCCTTGCAGACACTGTGTTTTCTTCAATGGAAAAGTGGAAAAATCAATTGACCTGCCTGTCTTTAACATCCTTCCCCCCACCAGCCACAGATGTTATGAAAATAAACAGGACGGACACCAACGCACTACATGAATGACAGGCAGTTCCTAAATCCCAGATAATATTTGCAATCCTCCAACCCATAACAGGCCATCAGGACCTAGAGAAACTTCCTAGAAGTCTTTTTCCTCGGTGAGCTGTACTAACTGGAAACAACCACAATAAAACGACACAAGCCTACAGGGCCTGCTGTTCAAACCCAACCTTTGCTGGCCGTGGCTCCTTGAGTCGATTCTGATTTCTACAATGCTCTTTGTGCCTTGAGATTAGGCTTGGCATTTTTACAAAGCGACGCTTTTAGAAAATGTCATCTCACATTTCTCTGTGGCTAGAGGAAACGGGCCTTTTTGAAAAAAGCCACACACCAGCCCACCAGGGGTGGGCGACTCTGGAACCATGCTCGATGGAGCTATCACGATAAGACGCGCTGACTTAATGGGTTTTCGTTGCTCACAAAGGGCAGAGAAATAAGAAGAGCTGGACAAAGAGAGTCAGCCAGGGAGAGGGCCAGCAGAGGGAGGCAGGGCATTGCGACCAGAGCGCTCTAAAGATACACACAAGGCCAACAGCAGAATCCTGGAGTTGGGGTCCTCTGACTTTGGGGTCCCCTCTTCTCTCCTGCAGCATCTTCCTTTAGATCGGAGTTTCTCAACCTCGGCACTGTTGACATTTGGGGTCAGATAACTGCTTGATGTGGGGGCTGTCCTGTGCACAGCTGGCTGTTGATCAGCATCCCTGCCTTTACCCACGAGATGCCGGCAGGACCCCCACCCAGTGTGACATCAGAAATGTCTCCAGACAGTGCCACAGGTCCCGGGAGGCGGGGCAGGGAAGGAGACAGAGCCCCCGGTTGAGAACCACGGCTTCAGACTAGAACACTTGCCTGGGTAGGTACCTTCGAAGGCAGGGCTGCTCGTAGGTTCTGAACAGACTTCTAGTTGTGAAACAGCTCTTTTTGACTCACGCGTTAAACAAAACAGAGGAAGGGCTTTATGGTAGAGACAAAAAGAGAGAGAGAGAGAAAAGGAAGGAAGGAAGGAAGGAAGAGAAAAAGGGAGAGAAAGACGCAGTCCTGGCCTCGAGGAACTTAGGTCCAAGAGGAGCAGCATCAGGACAGAAACACAAACAACGATATTTTAAGAAGTGAGAAGTTGCATAAGAAAAGTCCAGAGAAAGCCCAGGGGAGCTGAGAGGAGAGAGGAGGAGCCCAGGAGCAGGCCAGCGGTGGCAGGGGGAGGAAGGATGGGCACGGGGAGGTGAGGACGGGGCGCCCGTGATGTCCCCACTTGACTGGAATGTTCTCCCTCCTTTCCTGAGCCCCATCTCCCCAGCTGTCTGAGTTAAGAATAGCCAACGAAAGCC